GAGGAAGTGGTCCGTTTCTTGTACATTGACCAGTTTGTGAGTATAAAGTTTTTGAAAGTATTCTCTAATTATACTTTTAATGAATGAAAGATCTGCAGTGATAGTTTTTGTCCAATCTTGATATTGGTGACTGTGTCTTCTCTTCTTTAACTTTGTTAATCTCGTAAAAGGTTTACCAATTTTACTGAGTTTTTTTTTTTAAAGAACCAGCATTTTATTTCATGGATTTTCCCCTATTGTTTTACTGCTCTCAATTTCAGTAAAATTTCACTGATTCCAGCTCTTAACTATTTCATGTCTTCTTCTTACTTTGACTATATCTGGTTCTTCTTCTTCTAGCTTCTTGAGAAAGAAACATACATTATTCACTTGAGAGTTTTTCTCTTCTCTAAAAATTAGTGTTTTCATAGTATATCTTTTTCTATTCTTTTACTTTCAACCTACCTATGTCACTGTTTTTGAAATGAATTTCTTGAGAATGGCATATATTGGATTATGTCTAAAAATTCATTACATCATTTTCTGTCTTTTAATTGATATATTTGGATTATTTAATTCATATTTATATATTAGGACTTAAATCTGCCATTTTATTATTTCTCTTTTGTTTGTATCTTTGGTTTCTCATTCCTGTTTCCCTTTTTATGCCTTATTGTGGATTACTTGAACACGTTTTAGGACTCCATCCTAATTTATAGTGTTTTTCAGCATACTGTTTTGTATACTTCTTTTAGTGGTTGCTTTGAGTGTTCAATATATAGATATAACATCACAGTGTACCAGTACTGGCATTTTATCATTTCAAGTGAAATGCAGAAACTTTATTTCCATTTAGGCACTTTTGCCCTCCCACATTTAAAATATGATTATGTTCATTATTTACTTTACATACATTGTGTACCACATTATATGGTGTTAAAATTTTTGCTTCAGTCTTTAAACGTGATTTAAGAAAATCATAAGAAACGAATGACCACTCTATTTACCCACTCCACTGTTCTTTCCTTTCTGAATTTTCAGACCTTTTCCTGTTATCGTTTCCTTTCTCTTTGGAAAACTTATTTAGCCATTCTTTCAAGGTAGGTTTTCTAGTGACAAATTCTTTCAGTTTCCTTTTGTCTTAGTATCTCATTTCCCATTCATTCCTGAAGGATAATTTGACTGAATACAGACTTTGTGATCAATAGTTCTTTCTTCTCAGCACTTGAAAAATGTGGCACTTCCTTCTGGTGCCATTGTCCCCCAACCTCTCTGTCCATCTTGAGTCTTTTATATTGGTGATGGTACTTTTCAGTTCACTAATTTCTATTTGGTTCCTTTTTGTAATTTCTGTTTACTGCATTTGTTTCAAGAGGATTAGCAATTGTGCGTTGAAGGTTTTTTTTTATGATAACTGCTTTAAAATCTTCGTCAGATAACTCCAACATGTGATTCATCTTCATGTTGGTATCTGTTGACTGTTTATTCCTCATTCAAGTTGTGATTTTCATTGTTCTTAGTATGATGAGTGATTTTTTTTTTTTACTGTTCCCAGGACATTCTGGATATTTACATTATGAGATTTTGAATCCTATTTAATCTTTTTGGCAGATGTCCCCTTGGTGACGTTAATATGAGGGCACTGACACCACTCTGGCAAAAGTGAAGCACTGATTTATACTGTCTCATTGAAAACAGTAGGGTAGTGTAGAAGTTGAGCTCTTCTTCCAGCCCTGCTGAAACCTTTCTCGTAAAAAGTGGGGCATCACCTTGCTCCACATTGTTGTTAGTATGCATAAACTAAATAAGAACTACTGTTGCAAGAAACATTGTGAAAGATTGCTGACAAAAACTGAATTATGTTTCATCAGTCGTATCTTTTTAATAGTAAATATACACCTGAGTATTTATACATGGTATGATGTAGATAGTTTATTTCAAATTTAAACTCAGTTGTACTACGTAGACAATTTAGAATTACTCAGATATTAGCCAACTAAAATGCACATTACAGTCAGATACTTCACATTTCCTTCAACCAAAACAAAAAGATTATATCTGACAACAGATGAAAATGCTAATTGTGCCACTAAATTTTGATGAAATACTTTATAATGGTTTTTCTTCTAACATTTTTGAAAAGAAGAATCAATTTCACATTGTTTATATCTCAGACCTCAAACTCTCTGAAGCTGTTTTAATATACCAGTAATTGATGAAAAATCATCTACTATATGTCATCTATGAATCATGTGTTTTTCAAGGAATCTCTTGAGGAATAACTCTTATAACTCTAGAATTTAAAAAAATGAAAAAGCTATAATTTTAGAGAAAAGTCACTATTTTAAAAAAGCAACATTTCTGCTAGTTAGTTAAACTAATAAAAAAGACTATATTAATCCTGTTTCTAGGCTGGGCCTTCCTCAGGGCAACATTTTGGTCCACTGTTATTACCTCATATAGCTTTTGCAGGCAACTCCATTCACTAGCATGGCCTCAACTAACTCTTGCATAATGACAAATCCCAGTATCAACTGAAAGATAAATTTATCTTTCTTCTGAGTTTCAGGCTGCTTTATTCAGTGATTTAGTGAATATATGGTTACCTAAGTCTGTAACTTACCCTAATTTTTCTCTTAAACTTATTCCTTTTATTGTAACTCCTCTTTAGATAACAGCAACACAATCTACTCAGTTTCCCAAGCTGGAAACCTGGATCAACCTTTCCATCTGCCCCTAACCATCCAATAAAGCAAGTATTGTTGATTCTATTTTCTTAAATATTTCTCGAATCTGAGTTTTTTCTTCAGATTCAGTGCCACTGCTTTAGTTCACGTTTCAGTCATTTCATGTCTATATGCCTGCAATCTGGTCTCCTTCCTTAGAGATGGAACCTCCTTTATCCAATGAAATCATTTTTTTTTAACTCATCATAGAAAAAACTTTAAAAACTCCCCAAACTGATTATACTACATTATTTCTTAAAATCACATAATAGCACCCCATGGTTTTCAATATAAAGTCCAAATTTCTTAACGTGTCATACAGACCCACTGCCAGTCCTGCATCTCAACTATCTTTATCTTATACCCTGTGGTCTGGTGCCATGTTATCTCCTATTTATGCTTTCACAAGTGAATCTGCCTCTATAGAACTCCAGTTTGCTGGGTATATCTCTTGCAAAGGCTTTGCCCATTATCTTTTTTGAATGGCCAAGTGTCCTATCTATGCATTCCATAGAACATTTTGTTTATCTTTATCATTTAACACATATTGCAACTGTAATATAAGACAGAGCAACCTTAAGCACCACAAACAATTCAATTAATTTCAACAGTTCACCTTTATTAATTTCTATTTTTATTTTTGGAAAAATTAGAGATCTGGCTTAAAGTTCCTCTAAGCCAAACTATTTTATGAATTTATATCAAGTTGGAAAGAGCCTCTTGACACTCCTGGCTTTTTTTCCCTTTAATGTTAGAATATAATCATGATATTAATTCTAGAACTACTGAGATATTGAAACTAATAGTATATAACATAGAAATCAATTCGCTTAACTGATATAAATATAATATAAGCAATTTAAAGAACTATTTACTAAGATTTGAATTTACTGAACTTGATTTTGAAGTTTGATCAAATCAATCTTAATGACTTTGAGATCTTGTCATGTCATTGTTAACAGCTTAACTCAGTCTTGTTTAACCTTGACTATTGCTTTCCAATTGTTAAATTTTATTTTTTTGGAATAGGTTGTAATTTCAGTTCTTACTAGATTATAAAGTGCCTTTAGACAAGGGTCACAAGTAATATACACAAAATGTTATGATAAATCACAGAGAAAAAAATGTGACAATGAGTGTGTATATGTCCATGAATGACTGAAAAATTGTGCTGAACACTGGAATTTGACACAACACTATAAAATGATTATGAATCAATAAAAAAAATAACAAAAACAAAAACAAAAAAAAACAAGTTATGCTAGAAGACTACTCCACAGGATTTAGTAAAATGTTAGAAAGAGAAAAATATAATAATGCAGTAATACTCAAATAGTAAGGCCAATTTTTTATGTATTGTACTGTAAACTTTATGCTGAAATTGGCCTAACATGTTATCACAGGAACCAGGAAATATTTACTAGAAGATTAATACTATTTAAAATTGGTGAAAGCTTACAGGGAAAATAAATTAAAACAAGATAAAAAGATAATCTAATATGTACACTAATGCTCATATACAGTGCTCTCTTAAGCAGGTTTTCAATGAATTTCACAAGAAAGGGTTCCTTTTTTGATTTTCCTAATATTTTTCTTAGAAATGTGCTGATGATTGTAGATTAAATCTGATGATTATCTGATACATTTTTTTTAATTCAAATAGGATACCTGGGGATTAAATGATGTCCTAATACATCCAAAGATTCAACAGTATAAAGAAAAAACAATCTTCACCCACCTTCCCACCAAGATACTAAGTCTTTGTAGAGGTGAAAAATGCCATACTATACCTTGATTTCTTCTATTTCGTCTGGTACTATCTTGTATGCTGATACAGTCCCACCCAACCTGAAATTAGGAGAAAAAGATATTCTCAGAACCAGCAATAGTGTATTAAAAAGTATGGACTATATCTACATTAGCATCAGAGTGCCACCAATAACTGTTCATTATCCATCCCAATACCATGGAGGAAAAATAAGGATTATGTGCTTAGGATTTCCATATACTAAAAAGACGTAGACAGTAGAAGAGGAAACATTTAGATTTTTAACCACAATTAAATTTCTCTCGTTGCTGGTTTTAATGATACTCAAATTGCCACTTTTACTGATGGTGCCTGTCACAACTAATATGTATCAAGAACAGTAGCAGGTAATGTGTTTGTTTGTTTTTTTAATTACTAGACTACTTTTTAGAGTAGTTTCAGGTTTACAGAAAAGTTGAACAGAAAGTAAAAATATTTACTTCACAGATTCCCTACCACAGTTTTCCCGTTATTAACATTTTGCATCAATGTGGTCCATTTGTAAAAATTGATGAACCAATATTGATTAAGCTTCTGTTTAAAAATAATTCAGACAAGGAATCAGAGAGATGTGTGTGTGCCCAGGACTGCCCGAGGCAAAAGATGAGTATTCGCAAGTTACAAATTTAATGCCTAAGATATGATCCTTGCCTTAAGGCAATGATGTCATTACATGTCATGTTCACTTGATCAAATTTTTTTTAGAAAACAGTTAAGCTTATGAGACAGTTATCATTTGCCAGGTATATCATGTATTATCTTTAATTTTTACAACTGTCTCCATTGTAAAAATGGGGAAAGTGAGACAAAGAGATTCAGTAACTTTTGCAAGTAACTGAATGATCTAGTAGGTGAAGGAGCTAAATGAGATACACTTTATATGCAAAACACATATCAGACTTCAAATACTGAGTATAAAAAAGATTAATTTTAAAATACTGATTATATGTTAAAATAACATGGATATATTGGGTTAAATAAGATACATTATTAAAATTAATTTAATCTGCTTCTTTTTAGCTTTAAAATATTGCTACTAAAATTTTTAAATTACAAATACGGCTTGCATTTGTAGCTAGTATCATATCTCTATCAGACAGGTGTTCTAGGCTCTTAAACTGTAAGATTACCTACCTACCTTTGCTCTAACACAGTGCTTAAAAAGAACTTTCTGATTACTTATTTAACTTAAGTACCTCAGTATCAGAAAAGAAAGGGTCATAAATAAGTCATATATTTCAGATACTTTAGGGTATCTCCTGTCCCAAATATAAATTAATAAATGACATTCTGATCTCTATTAAAAAATAACTTTATCCAATCAAATAAATTTTACTGAAAATTCTGCATTTAAACTCTTTTAATATTACCACTTATTCTTGCTAATGGAAGTAGTGTTCAGATCATGATTTGAGAATTATTTCCTAGACTTAAAGTGTCATAATTGAATGATGAAAACACTAATGAAATTTAACTTAATTCACATTATATAAAGTATGTAAGTGAATGCTAGTAAAAGAGCAGCACTGGATGTTACTAAAATGAAAAATTTTATAACTGTCTGTAAGAGGTTTAAAGTGGGTATTAAAAACATTCATATTCATCATCACATATTAAAATTATTCAATTAGAAGTTGAGATTGTTGGAATATCAGTGAAGAGCAAAAACACTAGTGAAAACTCAAAGACTTCATTTATAGCCTTGCAAATAATGAATTCATAATTTTATTGAGTTCATATTATATAATGGATACAATCCAGGGAATGAGGATGCAAAGAAATCATAGTCTTGTAGGAAGCAGATGAGTAAACAAAGATCTATAATATACTGCATTAAAGTGTTACAACATAACTAGGTAGAAGATGAAAGTTTAAAATTATTTCAAAGTAAAAAGTTTTTAAAACCTACCTATCATTATAAAATAGACTAGTTATAATAAAAGCAGTCTAAAACAACTGTTACATAAATGGTATAGTAGATTACAGAATTAGTTCCAAACTGTTAGTATAATAATGATTCAAAGATGCTGTGGTGATAATGGTTAACTTCTCCAAGAAAAATGAAAATACAGTTGCTAGGATAAACTTCAATCCTACTTCAAAAAATAACCCATTTTTCTCTTGATCAATGTTAACTAACAGTTCTTCATACACTTCCTTTCTTGCAATCCTAACCTTGGGAAAGTAGGCTCCCAGATTAGTATTTCTGTATCAACTTCTAACGAATTATAATGATTTTGACTGTTAAAAAGGCAGGTAAAACACATGATTTAATATATTCCTCCTTGGATTAAAATGGACGTATGACATATAAACATTATGCATATGAAGTGTGTTGACAAAATAGTAGGATGCTCATTCAATCAAATGGCTACAAATGGAAGAAACTTGGAGGGCCTCTGTAGTATACTAAACATAGAAATGAGAAAGATTAAAACTGATGTAAACACCAAAAAAAAAATTTATAGAAAGAAACAATCCAGAAGTAAAGGAAACAACTAAGTCATAAGCAAGTCAGTTTCAAAAACTTCAAGGAAAGTGCCAAGAGGACGGAGTAGAGGGACACACACCTCATCCTCTCACAAATACAACAAGAATTACATCTACAGACCAAATGAATTGCACAGAACACCTGCTGAACTTTGGCAGAGTGCTTCTCACTTCAAAATACAGGAGGATTTCTCACAAAAACCAGGAGAAAAAAAGGGAAAAAAGGAAAAGGAAATCAGTGCAGGACAGGTCCTGCAGGGAGGGAGTAGCAAAGGAAAAAAGGCACCCTCCGGCTGGGATGCCTCTTCTCCAGTGAGAAGTCAGCAAGGACAGAAGCGGAGCTTCTGAGGCTCAGAGGAGAAATTACCAGCTGCTTGGCAGACAAAACTAAGAGAAACTGGCAATGGAGGGTCCCTGAGATCTTCAGGCCTAGATGCGAGCCAGTGGGGACAGGCTGGGACTGGCTGTTGGAGATCAGTGACAAACCTGGGGAGAGGGCTGAAGCCCACTGCACAGAGGCAGCCTCAAGGGAATGGAGGATGGTGTGAGCTGTGGCTGGGACTGTGTGCGGCACAGAACAGCCTGGAACCCCCATAAAAAAGCACCATTGCTGGTGCACGTGGGGGTGGGGAGGGGCACAATGCAGCCATGCCACAGCTGCTGTCTCCTCTCGGCCCCATCATTGGTGAGTTCTCTCAAGAAGAGAGATGAGGCTCAGTCATAGCCATCACATTGCTGCTGCCCTGCTCCAGGGTGGAGGTGGGGCTGAAACCTGAATCCATACCTAGGGGCCCCTTAATTTTACTAGTGGGACTGAGATTTGTTTACAGCCCCAGGCAGAGGGGGTGGACCTCTGCTGGTACCTCTGTGGACCCCCACCTCTGAAAAGGCAGCAGGTGGAGTTCTGGTGCATGGTAGGTATGGGTACGGCATTTACAACAGGCCGGCATATTGGATGTGGAGGTGGGGCTGGGGTCTGCGCTGACCCTGTGACGCACCATGGTTGCAGGTGTGTGACCGCATGATCCCTACAGCAGGTCTTAGTGCCTGACGTTGGCAGGTTTGCACTGGTGGCTTTGCAGGCACAGAACCTGGGGGACAACAGAGAGGGTGGCTGATGTTCCCACAGCTAGGGGAGGGACAAGGGAAGTGTCAAGAACACATAAAAAGTGTCAGACAACACCACAGAGAGTACTGCCCCGTGGACATCTCCCGCGGGGGTATACTCTGCAGCTCTTCTTTCCAGCTGAAGTGCTCCAACCCCACCTACCACATACTGCAGCTCAGAAATGGGTCTGAAAACCTCTATTCCTACAACAGGGGAGCAGCCCTGGCCCCTGTCAGGGCTGTGACAACCACAGAACAAAAAAGTAGGCCCCACTAAACAACAGCAAGGAGGGTATGAGAGTAGGCTCTGATCACAACACCAATAGCACCCCCAGTCAAAGGGATAACAGACAACACACACAGAAGAAAGACATGGCAAACACCCAGACTAACAAAAGGCCTCACAAAACTATTAGACATGCACAGTCTATAAAGGAATGTTCCTACTTTAAGAAACAAAAACAAACAAACAGCCCCTCCACACCACATTAGATAACTGATACTCCTAAATCCACGGAGCCAGAGGGATCACTCCCAATTAAAAGAACATGAGAAGTCCCCTGAAGGAATAAACAATGAAATAGACCTCAATAGTCTACTAGATCATGACTTCAAAAAGGAGGTGATTAAAGCATGGAAGGAAATAAGAGAGACTATGAATAGAGATGCAGAATAATATAAAAAGGAAATAGAAAATTTAAAGATTAGTTAATTAAAAATTAAAAATTCAATGGCTAAGAGCTGAGCTAAAGGCAGTCAAAAGCAGACCAGATAATGCAGAGGAACAAATAAGTGACTTAGAAGATAGGATAACATAAGTCACCCAATCAGAACAGCAGATAGAAAAGCAAGTAAAAACCAATGAACCTATAGGATAATATAAAGTGTGGCAATCTACACATAATAGGGGTCCCAGCTGCAGAAGAAAGAGAAAAGGGAATTGAAAAGTTGAAAATTTCATGACTGAAAAATTCCCAAATATCTGAAGGAAACAGATTTCTAAGTACAGAAATTACAGAGGGTCCCAAACAAAAACACCCAAACACACCTAAACCAAGATATATAATAATTAAGATGGCCAAATTTAAAGATAAAGAAATGATTCTAAAGGCAGCAAGAGAAAAACAAAAAGTTAGTTACAGGGGAACCCATAAGGTTTTCAACTGATTTCTCGACACAAACACTGCTAGCCAGAGAAAGTGGCAAGACATAGTCAACATCCTGAATGAGAAAAAGCTGAAACCTAGGATACACTATCCAGCAAGACTATCCTTTAGAATAGAAGGATATACCATATTAAAAAAAAACTTCAAAATTAATTAAAATTTAAATGTAAGACCTGAAACTAAAAAATTCCTAGAAGACATGGGGAAAACTTCCTGACATTGGTGTTGGCCATTGTTTCTTATATTTGATACCAAAAGCAGAGGCAAAAAATCCAAAA